TTTTTTTTTTTTTTTTTTTTTTTTAAACCAACTGTGCACTCTATTTCATCTCACTCAGAGTCAGTGAGATTCTGGGCCTGATTACACATCCTTTTATCAGAAACAAATTAATACCAATGTCAATAAAATATTTAATTTTATTTTATATTGGTTATGTATAAAGAGACTTACCAAGAGCATGTTCACAGATCATAGCAACCATATTGTCCCCCAAAAATGAAGAGGAGGCTAGAGATCAGCTTTCATTAATACCTAAATATAATATATAGATAATGCTGATTCCCTGGCCTGGAAGTAGCAATTCCACCCTGTAAATAACACATGTGATTTTTAGCATGAAACATACACATGCAACACACATACAATACACAATTTTCAGAATCATTAAGCTGCTGTACCATACCCAGGGAAACAATTATATTCACTCCCTATCCACATCCTGAACAATGATTATTTTTATGAAAATTCTCTTTCAGCTGTTCTTCTCCTACCTTTCCAATTATGCCAGCCACATCATTTTGAGCCTCTGAGTCTCTTTAAAAGTTTTGTTATGCAGACTTCAATTTTCTAAACATCTCAGAAATACACAAGTGGTCTTAACAAATATAGTGCGACTGCCGTGTGGTTTCGTGTTGCTTTTGTAGTTTCTAAGACACTCTAGCATTATTTAATTAGCTAAAATTTCTTCTCTCTTGAGAAATGGAAACTCAATGAAATGTCAACAATGCTGTCAGTCTGCTTCAGGCTAAACTCATTACACAAAAACTAAAGGTAAAAATAGTCCAAGGCAGAATTCTTTGTCATAATTTTGAGGCCCACACCTTATGCCAATGAAATCCATATGTGATTCAATGAAAATGCTAAATTGGAAAGAGTAGCTAATAAATTATCTCAACCGAGGCAATCATTGATCAGTCCTTGCATAGAAATTTATCTAATTAGCCAAACAACATATCAAGTTCTGCCGAGGATTATCTGAGTGCTACATTTATTGCATGATGAACCTTTGCTTTTCAGTTCTGGTAAGGCCGAAAAATGCTGTGTGCTGCTCTTTATTCCCAAAATAAATCCTTTTCCCACGAGAAAGAAAAAAAAAATCATTGTCTTTTTAAGTGAAGTACAGCCAAGAACTGAACAAAAATGCCTCACTTTATCTGAATTATCATGAAGGGTTCGGGATCCATGGGCTCATTACTAAGGATAATAAAATTTGGCATTTTCTATTGTCTAAGGGTTTATAAAGGCTACATTTCTTGATTTATTTAAATAGATGGTAGGAAAGAGCAAACTACAAAAACAAGTGCTATATACTGAAGGCATGTGAATTACCTCCTTCCCAAGGATAATGCAAATTAGAAGTACGTAAAGCTTTGTCTGCACCTGGGATCTTTAATGAGGATAAAGAAAAATCAGACAGAGATTCTCCTGGGGAAAGAGAGGATCGTTATTTGAATAACCTGCAGTGAATTCTAATCAATGCGACGTGACTTTGAAAATGAATGTGGTCTTTCAACCTGCTATACTTGGGCTGTAATATTAATCATAACTCCATGGCACAGTAAAGCTTATGACAAATGCTTATCCAGTGGACTCAGAAAAAGACTGGCTTGGGTGTGCCAAGGAGAAATGGAGCCATGAAAATACAAAGGCTCTTCTCTTTTCCTCCCTGCTAGCCCATTTATTGGCTAGTGTACTCTGTTATCTTTCTTTGATTATCTCTAAAGAGGCTGATGCAAATTGCATGTCATAACTGTAATTGCTTTCTTTTCTTCAAAGGTGACATTTTACATGTAGCTTATTTCCTGACACAGTCTTAGGAGTGTTATTTAACATTAAATTATATCAGGAAACTGGTGTGCCAATCTGCTAAGGATGCATTAGACAGCACAGCAAACCACTGCAACACAGGAGGGAATTTCAGCTCTGCCCTATTAGAGCACTGCATTCTTGGACCTAAGTGCATCCTGGACCTAAAGAAAGATGAACATATACATGGCAGATTTCCTGGAATGTTAGATAGAAAAGAGATGCTGACTTAAATAATAATTTTTTAAAAAAATCAGCTATCAAGTGTTTTCTGACTTTAAAAAATGTAATTAGTTTTTGACAAGTTGACATTAAAAGGCTTACAGCAGAGGCACATAATGCATTAAAGCTAAACTCTCAAAAATCACACGAGGAAGGAAGAATATGATAAAATAAACAACTTAAAATAATTTAAATAATCTTTTGTCAGGAAGTAATTCCAGGGAAAGAAGAGGAGTGGCATATTTGCATCGGCCTAATGGAAATAGTGTTTAGTAATCAGAGCTGTTTGCCTGGTCACTGTTGTTGCTATAATGTTCTGAGGTGAACTACAAATGGTGCAACACAGACACATCATCCAGCATGTGCCATTATTTTGTGTTGACTCTTGTTCATAAGGCAAAATAGAAGTTCATTCTTCAAGTGGATATTCCCACTGGAGAGCAGTTTCTAGTTTTCAGGTGTGAAGTAAAAGGGAATGCTAGATGCCACTCACAAATCTGAGGGCAGCCAAAGTAGATAGATGCACTTCAAAATTACTCTTGTTTTGTAGAATTTAAGAACAAGAGGCTTCATGAGACATCATATATTTCATCTCCTGCTTCAATGCTGCCGTCAAATCATCATGGACACACATATGGAATATATGTTGCAGGTAAATGGAATATGTGCATATGTGTATACATATATATGCACACACATATGTATGTAAATATATATGAGACAGATATGAAATATATATGGAAAGTATACTTGAAATACATATGGTCAAGTATTTGATCTGAGTCCACAGGCCTGAGAAACAGGAGAGCCAATAAGTCCTCCTGTAAAAACAGAGTATAAATTCCAGTTCAATGGCAGGAGATCAACATATGATCAACATTTCAATATGTGTGTGTGTGTGTGTATATATATGTGTGTGTATATATATATACACACACATATATATTCAGGTATACATATGAATTTGTACACATATATAGGTATGGAATGTACCAATTTAAATACATATCCATAGATACAATGTAGATAAACAGGTAGAACACTGAACTTGAAGTCACAATCAGTCATCATGGTCCTCATATATTATCCTTAATATATGTTTTAAGTATCATTTTTATAATCTTTTATTGATAGTTTTATTCCTAACCAACATTATTATATGCGAATTATCACGACTTGTTTTACGTGTGGTTGTAAACTTCCAGCCCTAATGCTAAGGCTGTCCAACATTTTTATTATCTCTTCCAATGTGTTAAGAAGATAGAATACTGCATGTGGTACACGGTAATTTTATCCCCATTTTAGAGATGAGAATTCAGGATTGTGATGGTTAATTTTGTACGTTAACTTGACTGAGCCATGAGATGCCCAGATACTAGGTTAAATGTTATTTCTGGGTATGTCTGTAAGGATACTTCTGGACAAGATTAGCATTTGAATCATAGGCTGAGTAAAGCTGATTGCCCAGATTGTCCCCTCTAATATGGGTGTGCATCATCCTTTCTGTTGAGGCCTTGAAGAGAAAATTCAGAGAAAGGGAAAATGTGCATGAGCACTCTCTCTCTCTTTCTCTCTCTCTCTCTCTACCTGACCTCTTGAGTTAGATGTTGATCACCTGCCATTGAACTGGAATTTACACTCTGTCCTTGTAGGAGAGACTTACAGGAGACTTACTGACTCCTGTTTCTCAGGGCTTTGGACTCAGACCAGAACTACATCATTGACTCTCCTGGGTCTCCAGACCTCAATCTCTTTCTCTCATCTGCCTATCTATCTATCTATCTATCTATCTATCTATCTATCTATCTATCTATCCATCCATCCATCTATCTATCTATCTATCATCTATCTATCTCTGTCTATCGATCTGTTTATCCATCTACCTATCTGTTTGTCTATCTATATCTATATATCGATCTGTTTATCTATCTATCTATCTATCTATCACTCTAACCATCCATTTATTTATCATCTAATCTCCTGTTGGTTCTGTTTCTCTGAAGACTCTGACTAATACAAGGGTCTTAGGAAGGTTGTGTTAATTTCTCAATTTAATCCAAGTTGTAAGTGGCAGAACTGAAAATTAAATCTATACTTCTAATATTAACACGATTCTTTTAAAAAATAAATTTATTGAGTTATAATCTGCATCCTATCAAATTCATGCGTAAGTGTACAATTCAATGATTATTAGTAAACATACTGAGTTATGCATCAATCATCAAAATCCAGTTTTAGAAATTTATTCTCCCCAGTAAGATCCCTCATGCCTGTTTACAGTTAATCTCTGTTCCTACCCTTAGCCCTAGGCAACCACTAATCTATTTCTGTCTCTATAGGTTTTACTTTTCTAGATGTTTCATGTAAATGGAATGGTCTAATATAAAGTCTTTTGTGTCTGGCTTCTTCCACTTAGTATAATGTTTCTGAGACCCTTCTCTGTTGTTGCCTCATGCTTTTTATAATGCATTTGTCTACTCTTCACTCTGCTCACTGCTTCTGCTCTATTTCGAGCTGTTTCTATTTTGATCTCAACTTAGGATGAGAAACAAAGAGATGCACTGTAGCATGGTAGAAAAAAAAAAAAAAAAAACACTAGCATTGAAAGGAAGAAGATCTGGGTTTGGAGTCTATGAGCAAGGCAATTCTATCTCTCAACTACCTCACCTGCAAAATCTTGTTTACTGGAAAGACAAAATGAGGTAAGGCCTAAAATGGTACTTACAAAACCACATAAATAGTAGTTTATTAATATTGTGTTTATTACAGCATGAAGAGGAGGTAAATGAGTAAAGTTTTCAAAATATAATAATCTCTTTACACTCAAGGAATTCTAGATCTAATGTGAGAAAGTTTGATTAACATAGTCTTTTTTTTCTTTCTTTTTTTTTTTTTTTCTTGAAATGAAGTTTCGCTCTTGTCGCCCAGGATGGAGTACAACGGTGCGATCTTGGCTCACTGCAACCTCCGTCTCCCCGGTTCAAGCGATTCTCCTGCCTCAGCCTCCTGAGTACCTGGAATTACAGATATGCGCCACCACGCCTGGCTAATTTTGTATTTTTAGTAGAGACAGGGCTTCTCCATGTTGGTCAGGCTGGTCTCAAACTCCCAACCTCAGGTGATCCGCCCGCCTCAGCAACCCAAAATGCTAGGGTTATAGGCGTGAGCCACTGCGCCCGGCCTACTAACATAGTCTTACCAGTGATCTAAACTCCTTCAGTTCAGGTCACCATTCCCTAACGTAAACTCAGGTTCATGTTTATATGCCACAAGTGGTAGGTTTTTATTATGTACAACTTATAAACCACTCCTGAATTCTATTCAAAGTAGCCTATAGTAGTGGCCACCAGTTCCAAACTGTGGAAACTGCAAAATAATCACCTGTGACGTCTTTTGAAAATGCAGATTTCTCGACAGACAAGGATTGGAACTTAAAAATCTTCAGTTTAAATAATTCTGAAAATGATCCATTTCTATCCTAAAACTGAGAACCAAACTTGAGTGAAAAATGGTTCTCAGATATACTACCTAGAGTAAGGTCAATGTAATGATATTGGAGCATTCTAGAATCATACCAAAAATTCCCGTTGTGCAGAGGCTGCTGTTGGCCTCCAATGTCCATTCTTCTCTTCTTTCTTTTAGCACTATTATCCCAGAATTTTAGCCGAGCTCATGATTACCCAGCATCCCTTGCCGCTGGGTATGATCATGTAACTAACTGCTGGCCAATGACATTTGAACAGAAGTGATGCATGCCATTTCTGGCTCATATACCTAAAAGTAAGGAGTTTACTTTCCATTCATTTTTTTCCTTCTTCTCAGGAGCTAAACTAGGATTAGGGTGAGCCATCCATGACTGTGTAGATAAAGACAACATTAGTGAATTACAAAGCATCAAGATAGCAGTTTGGGTATTAAACAATCTCATGGATTGACTCCCAGCTCAGATTCTTAAGTGAGATAAGTAAACTTTTATTTTGTGTAAATTATTGTTATGCTTTCCTCTGCTAAATAATTAAACTGATATCTTAACCAATATGCTAACTAACAGGCATTCACTATTCAGAAAACTCAGTTAAGTAGCTTTTGAATGTCTCAATTGCTAAGTTTGTTGCTTTTCTGGACATGTTTACTTTATAACGGTTAAGACCTTGTCTTTCTGACATTCTGTTCAATTTGAGGAGCCTGAAGATTTGGTCAGAAAAGCACTGTAACAAAAGCTTGTAGATGAGGTAGAGAATCGAGAATTTAGAGATTTACATTTGGTCTTATATGTAAATCTAGACCAAATGTAGAGATTTACATTTGGTCTTAATATGTTTTAGGTTTGATAAGTTTGACATCATTGGTATGAATGAGTGGAGGGCAGGTGACTAGTCTTAGTCAACATGGGTTTTTTCAGAGAACCTGGCACACATTAAGTGATCAAAAGTATTTGCTGATTTATTCTGATAAAAAGACTCCTGTGCAACAGGAGTGCTAACATAATGAAATCTGTAGGCTTTCCCATAGATAAGGCATAGTGGGGCTATTTTCTTTAAAAGGGAGTAGTAGGCAGGTGGAATAGGTAATCGCTGAGTCCCTTTTAACTTTAAAAGAGAGACAGCTCATGGCTCTCTCTCTTTTCCAAAATTGACTGCTGATTCACTACTACCCTACATAAAGAACACAAAACATCAATACTCTCCATAAATGCACCCAGTTCTCTCTCTTTCCAGCCTTAATTTAATTTGCTCTAAACTTACCCTGAATTATCCTTGTATTTTCCCAACTTTACATTCTGCTCTACCTGTTCCCTCTGCTTGGAGACATATCTTCCTATCAAATTCCCATCCACTCTGCCTGAGTGAATGCCCTTCAGTGTTATGTGAATACACAGATCTCCTGATGGCAGGGGAGGTAAACAGCCTTGACAGTTCCTGGAAGTCATTCTAATAGATTTTGAATGATGATCTCTCACTGAAAAGATCCATTCATTACAACTCCAGGTCAGAAACCAGAGCAGAAGATACTTGCCAATCGAGAGAGTTATCTCCAAATTCCAGGTTCCTGACAACTGGCCAGAAGGTCAAGGTGGACCAAGATCAGAGCTGACTCCTGTCATAGCCCTTTCCTGATGGCTGCTTCTATTTATAGGCACTGTCACCAAAACACATCCTAAATATTTCCCATCATCTCCACCACATTTGGATACCACCTACATCCCCCCGCTGCTACTATGTTAGCCTGAGCCATCATCATCACTTACCTGACCTTACCTGGAGTACTGCAACAGCCTCCCAAGTAGTCTCTCTTCTTCCATTCTAGTCTCCTCATCCCAATTAATTTCACACAAATGAGTCAGAATGATTTAAAACGCTCTAACGGCTTTCTATTGCACTGATCATAAATCCTAAGAATAACTCCACTGGTCTAGCTTCTGCCAGCCCCTCTGACATCACCTGGTACTGATTTCCCCCTGTCAACGATATCCTAGCCACACTGGCCTATTCCTCAAACACACCAAGCTCTCCCTTTTTTTCTTGGCTTTTACACTTACAATATCTCCTGCAGGGAACATCTTGTCCTTTCAGCTTTGCCTTGCTGGTGCCTCCTCATCAAATAAGTCTCAACACAAAAGTCACCTCTTAGAGAGACCTTCCCTGGCCCCTACTAATTAATACTTCCCTCTCTCACCATATCAGACTATTTTCTCAGAGCACTTAGCACTATTTGAAATTAATTTATTTCAGTTGAGTACATCATTAGATATCAATGAACTGCTATTCAATGAATGCGTTTAGCAGAGTGGATAAGAACTCAAGCTCCTGAGCCAGTCTTGCTAAGTGAATCTTGGCTCTGACATTTGCCATGTATGTGTCTGTGGGCAAGTTAATTATCCTCACTGTGACTCAGTTTCCTAATCTGTAAAATAGGGATACTAAGAGCACCTACTTCATAGGGTTGTTGTCAAGATTAAATAAATTAACATATACAATGGAAAGGTATAACACTTGCATGGAACATTGTGTGCAGTCAGAAAAATCAGCTCACCATTTAAAGGATGACATTTAAATTTCTAATCATAACTGAAACGGAAAAGCATATTATTATCTCCATAAGTTGATCAAATGCTTAGGGTTTTAGGTGGAGAGAGAATACTGTGATCATTATGTGCCAAATTTTTAGGTCCCTGAATTCTCAAGGCAAGCTGCTGTTCAGGGCTCTGATTGTTTTCTTTATGTTTTATTTTCTCGTCAAGAACATTTTACAGAATTATTATATGCAATGGTCTGTGCTCGGTTCTAAAATGGATCCATTGCCATAGAGTTGAGAACAAATGTAAACTGGCATTTACAGCACAATAGCATCCAAAGCTATGTATCCAGAACAAAGGGGACACTGATGGGGAGCAGGGAGAAGCACACACCTCACACAACTCTCCTGTGGGTGTGGGTGGTGGCCAGGAAGGCTCGTGTTCTTGCAAGGCAGGCTGTAGCCTTGGACTGCGAGGTATTTTGTGAGCACCTGTGGACTCCCTAGTGCGGTGGAGAACACCACTCACCACGCAGGGAATGTGTAGTCACTCCGTGAGCACATACCCAGGAAAGAATGCAGAGTTGTTTGTTGTCCCCAGCAGCATGTGAACAAATGTGCCACACATATGTACCAAACAAATGTAGAAATACAGGATTGCTTAAGAAAAGGAAGGAGAAGCATGTTGAAAGTTGATGGCGTATCAAGCATTTCCTGAGGGATGTTGTCTGTCAGTTTGTTTTCACCGGCTGATTGAAAATCACATGTGGCTTTCAGATGTAGAAAAGGAAAAGTATTCGTATATAACAATGGAAACTTTTTTAGTATAATTCTTGATGTAAGCCACTTGGGCATCCATATGATACTCCTGGGCAAATCTTTGGGCACAAGTTTCTGGAAGGACATCTAAAGATCATTTTAGTTTTCCCCTTTCTTCTTTAGCTCTGATACGCTTTCAGGGATGGGGCCTATTCTAGCTGAGGCCTTTCTTCCCCCTCCTTTCTCTATTGCAGGGAGATGATAAAAATGTAAAATTTATTTTCACCTCGTTTTTCTTTCAATTACTGTGAAATCTTACTACAAGAAAGGTGAGCAGAAAACAAAATTCTGATAAGATTTGTTTCATGATTAAGAAGTCTGTGAAAAGACCACCCCAAAGACTGGTATTGCACTATTGGCCTTAGAAAAAATTTCGACATGCAGAAGTGAAAGGGGAGACGCAGATTAGCTGTTTATCTAAATATTCCCTAATCAAAAAGTAAGTAAAGCTTCAGAAGAGGAAATGATACAGCCTATTAGCTGAGTGAATAGTCATGGCCTCAAATAGACCTGTGTCTGAAGGAGTCCACTGCTACTGACTAATTATTCTACCTTGGGGGCGGAGCTTCTTCATCTCTTCCTGGACTAACAGCCAGATTGCATTTCCTGGCTTCCTTTGCACCTAGGTGTGGCCTCGTGAGGGAGTTCTGACCGATGACCACCTCCAGTAACCCACAGCCAACCACACTGGAATGTTCCATGAGATAAAAGTTAAGTTTTGATGGATCTGACAGCAAGAATTTTTAGGTTCTTCTAGCGGCTAGCCTACCTTTACACATTTGAATAAGATTCTTAAACTCCATGCTTTAATTTATTTGTGAACGGAGCTAACATACCTACCTCATAAGGTTGTTATGTAGCCCCGAAATGGTTCTTCTTTCTTGTCCTCAAGTTATTTTTTCCTTCTTTTGTGTATTTATACTTCTTCTTATTACAGTAAAAAAGAATCCCTAGTCCTCATTCTCTGATATCCACTTTGGTTGTTAGTTGGAGAAAAATTGTAGGAAAAGTAAAGTAGCCCAAGAATCATGCCTCTGAATAAACCATTCCTTGGAAGGAATGACAAAGAGCTTTAAGTCCTTAATTCAGTATAAAACATAGCTGGGGCCCTATGGGGTCAGTCTGAACAGAGTTACATTAAATGAAAATACAAAGAGAAGTCTAGCAGCATTAAAGGTTAATATAGATCATTACTAATTTTCTCAAAGGGGATGCCACAGGGATTTAACACAAACGTGTTGCACAGAGTTTCTCGGAAATACTTTCCAGACATCAAATTCTCTTCCGTGATTCTCGTGACAACTGTTAAAATTCCTCTCATGCTCTTATCCACTTGGTTTTCTTTCCATCAGAGTCATCCTTGACCTCCCTCTCTTCTTCCCTTCATTGCTGTCTCCATTGTGAAGAAAACCAAGTGGATAAGAGCATAGCCTTAACCCAACCACACATTGCTGTGAGTCTCACGTCCTGTCTGCTACTTCATGGAAGAAGGTGCTCTTCCTCTTGGAAGTGTGATACTAATCTCTTCTAACAACTTATCTTGTAAATCATTCTTATGGAATATTTCCACTGAATAAAATTTTCTACCTTGTCATATGATTTGATCTAATGACTTAGATGACCTGAGAAAGAAAAAATCAGAATATTCAAATCTTCATTCTGACAATAAGCAGTCATAAACAAGTCTTCACAATCAGAACAAAGTTAAGAATTCATTCCAAGGGAAGGAAATTGTCCTGAGAGTCATAGGTGAACAATGGTAATCCTTGGCCTCTCTGGAGAGGTGCACAGAGCTGGTCAGATTGAAAAAAGTAGTACAGTTCAGATATGCTCCAATTTAATTCCCACAGGGAGAAGCTTCCTTTATTAATAACACTTCTTGTTTCCAAATGCCCATCCTGTCGGAAACAGCCAGATTTCTAATGATATCAGTTTAAGATGCTGTGAAAACGCATTTTTTTTAATCTGTTAGAGGTAAATATAATCATTATTAATATTACTTCAGACTTACCTTCAGGCATATTTATTTAGTCCCTGAGGGATTGGGACTTTACGTAACTTGCCTTAGGTGAAAACAGGATGAACCAACAACTCGGAATCGCAGTGGAGTAGGCAGTCAGGAGCAGAAGCACCCCAGCCTCCTTCAGTGTCTCATGCTGTGGAACACATGGTTGTTAAAAGCTTTGAAGGGTATGAGATTTGACCATACTTGTAAGCTAACAAGAGACATGTGAATCTTGAGCAAAAGGCAAACGTGAGCTTCATGTTTGCATTGGTTGCCTTTGTCACCCAGGTCCCATGGGGACCATGAGCATGCAGCAACACATTTGGGACATATCTGAGGAACCCTGGGATTGGAACATCCCAATCTTTTACAATGGGCTACAAGCAAACCTGTCCAAGATTTGCCCCAGAGGGAGATGGTATCTTTAATATCTTGGACAGCAAATAAATCTCTGCTCTTCTTTGGAGGGAGACACTGGCTCTACTCTTGAAGACTGTTTGCTATAGAGACATTCTTGAAAAGATGGACTAGAACAAAATGTTGTCACTGTGTCTGTTCACAAGATCTGCAGAAATCTGAGACACCCATGGAGAATTATCTCACAACAATGGTAGCAGTGTGTACTGCCAATAAGACATACTGAGAGCCAGGTGAAAGTATCTGGGTTCAAGCCCAGCTCCACCATTACTATTTAGCAGCTTTCAAGGAAGTTACTTAAACTCTCTGAATTTCAGTTTCCCTATGTATTAAATAGGGAGGATATTACCTATTATATAGAATTACTATAAAAATTAAATAAAATGGTCTATAAAGTAACTATGATAACATATGTATATTACACAGGTAATACATAACATTACATTTTAAATATTCCAATATAACGCTATATATTATTTTATTTTGCACTTCTTGCTAACTTAGATTGTATTTTTGTTTTGGTTAACAAGTCTAGTTAGCTTTGAAATGCTATTTAACTTGTTTATACTGGTACATCATAAAGAGTGCTAAACAAGGGACAGGGACCTGGGTTCCAGGTCTACCACAGATCAGCTGTGTAACTTTAGCAAGTCAAAGGAGGAGACTGCACAAAAATTCAGGGATAGCAAAAAAGATTCCATCCCAGTGCCAGGCCCAAGCAATGAGTAGTGACTGCCTAGAAAGTTGTGTTGAGAAAAAATGTGAGCCTGTATCTCAGCTCAGCAGGAAAATGTGCTCATGGTGATCTAGCTGTATCTTTGAGGTGCAGGCTTGATGAGGAATGGAAAAGAGTGGTCTGGAGGGGATGAATAGTGAAAATGTGGTAGTATCTTGACATTGCTTTGTATATAACAGTTGCTCAGTTAATACATGTTAATTGATTAGTTGGTGGATTGACTAGTTAGGTTTCTGGAGTCCTGGGTCAGAGATGAAAAATGAGGAGGGCATGAAGTGATGAGGGGGAACGTGGAGGCAAATGAACCACTCAACAATTTTACTTTGGGAGAAAGGGAATCTTACTTTTACTTAGGCCATGACCTCTAAGCTAGGTTAAGTACTTCTGGAAATCCCAGCTGTTACCAGGCTGCATATGGAACGCAGCCAGCCTCTTTTCAAATGACCTGGTGTACTGAAGCTGCCTCTGGTTTCTCCTGGGCTCCAAATTACTGCTATGAAGCAGCTGCTCAAACACTTTAATGGCCACAATTAAACAGTCCCAGAGGCTGACCTTTAGACATGGCAGTGGTTAATCGAGCCAACTGCCCTGGTGGCTGCCATCTTTGGCAAAGAATTGCAAGTCCAGTGTGACTTGGTCTTTTGTTTGGCTTCCCAGAACATGTTCTAAGGGAGAAATCATATTTTCAATCACACCAGTAGAAATGATGAAAACATGGAGATGGGACAAGATGGATGAAGGAATTCCCATATTCTTGTAAGAAAAAGGCCCTGTCAATGACAAGGGTGAAGTTCTCTCAAAATTGTCTGTGCTTATTAAATTCCTTAAGCAGAGAGAGCCAAGCTTTTACTAGGAAAAGGGAAAGAATTCGTAACTAGAACTTAATGCTTTTATCTATTAGTCAATTAATATTCATTTAACACTGAATGAATGACCAAAAATAATGGAGAGAGCTTCATACACAAGGAGACCGCCATGGAAAATGAGCTAGAATGTAAATCCCTAAGAGCAGAGGCTGATTTCATTTGGTTACTACATTTGCCAAATGTCTAAAATGCTACCTGGTATATAACAGATGCTCAATTAATAGCTGTTGAGTAAATGGTTATACAAGAACTTTACCTTCACTGAGCTCACGATCTAGGAAATATATAAACAAGATATTTGTCACTTTTGATGAGTGCTATAAAGGAAAGTGTTGTAACATGATGAGGTAGACACTAACTGGGGAGTGGAGGGAGATATACTTTGGTTAGTAAGGTTCAGGAAAGCCTGTGTTTGAGTTGAAAGATGCACGACAAGAAGGAGCCATTCACGAAAAGATTGTGGGGAGGGGGAGATTTTTAAGCAGACAACAGCAATAGGCAAAGGCCATTAGGAAGCAAATAACATGTGTGTTAAAGGAACAGAGGGGGACCGGGAGCGATGGCTCACGCCTGTAATCCCAGCACTTTGGGAGGCTGAGGCGGGTGCATCACCTGAGGTCAGGAGTTCAAGACCAGTCTGGCCAACATGATGAAACCCCATCTCTACTAAAAATACAAAATCAGCCAGGCATAGTGGTTGTCACCTATAATCCCAGCTCCTCAGGAGGCTGAGGCAGGGGAATCACTTGAACCTGGGAGGCAGAGGTTGCAGTGAGCTGAGACTGTGCCACTGGACTCCAGTTGGGTGACAAGAGCACAACTCCATCTAAAAAAAAAAAAGCAAAACAAAACAAAAACAGAAAGAAAAAAAAAAACAGAGGCGACAAGCGTAAGGGAGACAACAAGTGAGATGAGGAGAAGTAAAACATTTAATCTGAGTAGTGGGTAGGGACCAAGTCATATAGGGTCTCCTAATCATGGTAGGGAAATTTGGGTTTTACTCTATGTATTCATTTCCTAGGGATGTCCTAACAAATTACCACAAACTGGGTGGCTTAAAGCAACAAAGATTTATTTGCTCACAGTTCTGGGAGCCAGAAGTTCAAAATCAAGGTGCTGGCAGGGCTGGTTCCTTCTGGAGACTCTGAGGGAAAATCTGTTCCATGCCTCTCTCCTAGCTCCTGAGGTGTTGATAACCCTCTTGATCCTCGGCTTGTACATGCATCACTCCAGTCCCTGCCTCTGTCTTCACACCACTTCGTCCTCTCCTGTGTCTCTCCTCTTCTATGTCTTCTCTTCTTACAGAACACTTGCCACTTGATTTTAGGCATACTTGGATAGGCTAGCATGATCTCATCTCAAGATTTATAACTTGGTTACCCCTGCAAAGGCCATGCTTTCAAACAAGTTCACATTCACAGGTTCCCCGTGGATATATATTTGGGGGAGGCATTCACCTCACTACAATCAATTTACGATGAAAAAAAAACCATTAGAGAATGACATGCAAAGGGGAGACAGAAGATTTATGCTTTTCTGGTTTAGGATCTGATTCGAGAATAATAAGGGTGGAAGTTCTTGGCAGTGAGGGATGAGGTATTGGGAGGCTGCTGCATCTTTGTGGAAGCAAGAGTAGCTAAAAAGTCTGAGTTGGGAGTGGGGCCAGGGGATTGGTGTCAAGGAAGTGTGAAAGTAGTGTCTGGGATGAAATGGGGACAGTGACACCCAAGCAGCATCGTGATCCTAGGCACAGCTGTTCTAACATGACACAGGTGTTAGGTCTTTGGCTGGAAATCAGTCAGGTCCCCTCTTTTCATGCTTCTCATTGCCTCACTCTTGGCCCTCTGCAGGCCTCCTTGTCTTCTGAGTACAGTTGTGACTGAGCACTCAAAGTTGCTGCTTTTATGCCCTACATCTTAGGACTCTATCCTTTCCTGTGTAGAACTTACATAAGTCTTAATGCTCAATTACAAAAGATTCTGAACCTCTAGTTTCTCTTTGCACCATATTGCCCTTCTGGTGGGATTTGGGGTCTCCAGTATGAATTGCCTGTCTGTTATGCAGTGAGAATGCCATAGGCAGGGGAAAAAAAAACTTTTTCCCCCAACTGAAAATTAGATCTTAGCAAGTAGTTCTTGCTTTCTCTCTCTGAAAGCATTTCCAATAGTACTCATGGCAAGCTTTATTTAGAAAGGCAAATACAAAAACTTAAATTCGATAAGTGGAGAGTATGGACCAAAGCCTGCCCTCCATAATTTGCAATCCTTTCCCAGAAGCATGGAACCAAAGGTGAGATTTATAACTGGGTAGTAAATGTGGAATTGAATTGTTTATTTTCTTGTAGAAGTCTAAAGTACAGAATGTGTGATATAGGACTATTGAGGATCCTAACTACTTGTCATTCTATCTATCTGATTAGTGGGAAAGAAAAAACAACTTTTTGTTGGGCAGCAAGAGTCTGAGTGCACTAGAGAAACATGGACCTTTCTTAAAATGGCAACTTTCCCTATTTGCAGATTCCTTGTAGTGAGTGTGCAGGGGATTCCTCAAAGGATGGGTGCAGCTGTTTTAAGTCTTTTTCAGTTGCATTTGACAGTGCACCTACTTCAAATTGGCCTAGCCAAATAGGGAGTTTAATGGGCAACTTAATTGTAAAACTCAGGTAGTACAAGGCCCCGGATGCTTCAACAATATGTCTAGGATCCAATTTTTTTCTGTTAGTTTCACTCTCTCTATACTGACTTCATACTTAGACACTTCCCATCTACTGTTGGCAACAAAGACACCAGACCTGCAATTTCCCAGTCAGCAATTGTGTTGCTTCTGATTGGCTCATCTTTGTACCATTAACTGTATCAAGAAGAAGGCAGTGCTGATGGGCTAGGCTTGAGTCACATGGCCTCCCTTGGAGCTGTGAGTGAAGTCAGCAACACAGGAACAGCACAGGCTAAGAGTAGGAAAGGAGTGATTTCTCAAAAGGACATCAGGGTGCTGCTCTCAAAGCAGAAACAAAAACAAAAAAAATCAAGGAACAGCAGCCACTAGTGAATTGTGTCCATGCATAGCTGTATGGCTTTGGGCAAATAATCCAGCCCTGTTCCTGTTTCTTCATCTTTAAAGTGGTAATAATGA